GAGAAGAACGAGGCACTTCTCAGTACGCTCAGGTCATATTCCACAGTCCAAGAAGTCTATTTTCGCGGATGTAGCTTTCCAACATTCATCGACTTCGAGGAGTTTGTAGTCGCCATGCCAGCCCTCACGCGTTTCTCCGTCGACCTGATTACCTGGTCGTTCGTCGACAGATTCCACATCGATCGCATGATGGCCGACCCACCGAAGCTGCAACTGTCTGGTGTCGAGTTTATCCGGTTTGCGGACCCAGTGAAATTCTGTTCGTGGCTTCTCAGGATGCCTATCCCGCCTACACTGCAGACGGTGGCGTTTCATTGGGTTATGGCTGAGGATGCACAGATGGTGGGCAAATTCCTGGCCGAGCTTGGTCCCGGGCTGCGGAGTCTTCGTATTGGATGCCGACTTGACAAGCATCCGGAGATGGCATACTGTGCGTACGATCTGGCTCTGCATCCGGCGACGACAAGCTAACTGGATAATATCTCACAGCGTTGAACAAGCACATCGACTTGTCACATAACGTGGAAATGCACTCGCTGCATCTTGTCGTAGCGGATCTGCAGGACTACCTGATGCTGTGGGTGCCTGCCATCCTGTCTCAAGTCAAGCATGTGCCTTTACGGCGGCTGACACTGGAGGTGTGGCTGCACAATGGGCTGCAGTTAGTCAGTGATGTGTGGGACGAGATTGTGGCGCTTTTGGACAACGAGTGGGTCGACACGATGCACGAGGTCGTGATCATGCATCGTGGTGATCTCTGCATGAAGTATACGAACGCATGGTGGGCATGGCGGATCCCTAGTCTCGTGGGACGCCGCATTTTACGGGTTCAAGATCGTTCTCCATTCCTCAAGTAACACGCGTTGGTGTGCTCACCAGGCTAGAAACTGCTCGCATTCCTTGCCGAGAGTTGAAACCATTGCCACAGCACGATGATTTTAAAGACATCCCCCCCTTTGGTCCCCAATCAAAGTCTCTCAGGTCTTTGATTTGACTAGGCTGCCCGTCTCCTTTTGTGATATAATGATATAGTATGTGCATCCAATGACCACTCTTACACCTGTGCCAGATCTCCCCATGGAAGTAAAGCTACATGTGTACTTTGGAAGTGCAACCTACCCATTGATACTTGTCTGTTTTCGTCTCCGAGGCCCTCGGTCTTGTATGCCCCAAAGCAGGTGCAGGGCTTTAGCTCCATCAGTGTCTCGGTCTCAGCATTTGGAGCGCGTCCGACGAACAAGCACCGTGACGCGCCACGGTATAGGTGAGCTACTCGTGGCGTCGCTCACCTCGATGATGACGTGGCTCAGATGCAACCCTCACATCCCTTGGGCTTTTCTTATTGCCGCCTTGGCCCACTGCAACAATACCGCCACGATGGATATCCACCTTTGAGGTTAGTCATCATGATACTGATCGAACATACTCAACTCACGTACAACTTGAATTATATAAGCACTATCGCTAGGAAGAGTTGTCACTCTGTGGCGGGTGGTTCATAATTTAGGGTAATGGGAATCGATGGGTTCCTCCATCCGTAGTTCCTACAACCCCCTCGCTGTGTTTGCTCTATTATCGGCCTCACGTGCTAATGGCGTCGCAAATACCTCAAACGATTGATCGAGACATCTTCACCAGAACTATCACCGGTTCTGTGTCGCTGTCTCGCTTCATTCACCTCTTGAACGACTCCCCTCACATTGCCAAATTCGTCGAAGAACTGTGCTTCGATGCACACGCCAATTACGTGGACACGACACTCAAGCCCTGGATTCACGAGCTCGCCACGATTCCCGTAAGTCGGCTCACGCGGATCAGGAGTCTGCGGTTCTCCAAAGTGCGGTGTATTTGTTTCGAGAAAAACGAGGCACTTCTCAGGACACTCAGGACGTACGCCACAGTCCAGGAAGTCCATTTCTGCGAATGTAGCTTTCCAACATTCATCGACTTCGAGGTATTTGTCGCCGCTCTTCCAGCCGTCACGCGTTTCTCTGTCGACCTGATAACCTGGTCGGTCGCCGACAAATTGCATATCGACCGCATGATAGCCGACCCACCGAAGCTGCAGCTGTCTATTGTTGAGTTTCTCTGGTTTGCGGACCCAGTGAAATTCTGTTCGTGGCTTCTCAGGATGCCTATCCCGCCCACACTGCGGTCGGTGGCGTTTCAACGTGTCATGCTCGCGGACGCACAGCTGGTGGGCATATTCCTGACCAAGCTTGGCCCCGGGCTACGGAATCTTCGTATTGGATGCCGATTTGACAAGGATCCGGCGATGACAAAGTGTACGTGTGACCCTTTCCCTCCAGCGATGTTCATAAGCTAAACGTATCATTTCCCATAGGCTTGAATAGACACATCGACTTGTCGCGTAATGAGGAACTGCGCTCGCTGCACCTTGTTATAGCGGATCTGCAGGACTACCTGATGCCGTGGGTGCCTGCGATCCTG